GGGCACCGCCCTGTGAAGGAAGAGCTGTTTGGGGGCCCCTGCCCCCCCCCAGCTCCAGCACCAGGAACAGGGCCAGCACTTTCTACTGCCTGGGCCTCAGCATCCCCAGTGCAAACTGGACTTCATGTCCTGAAGCCCTCCCAGTCCTGATCTTGTCTGCCCTAGAGTACCCCCTCCCAGCTCTGACATTCCATGCTCTAAGGTTCCCCCCAGCTCTGACATTCCATGCTCTAAGGTTCCCCCCTCAGCTCTGACATTCCATATTCTGACATTCCATGCTCTAAGGTCCCCCCCAGCTCTGACATTCCATGTTCTGATATTCCATGTTCTAAGCTCCCCCCCAGCTCTGACATTCCATGTTCTGACATTCCATGCTCTAAGGTTCCCCCCTCAGCTCTGACATTCCATGTTCTGATATTCCATGTTCTAAGATCCCCCCTCAACTCTGACATTCCATGTTCTGACATTCCATGCACTAAGGTCCCCCCCAAGCTCTGACATTCCACGCTCTAAGGTTCCCTCCTGATTTTAACATTCCATGCTCTAAGGTTCCCCCAGCTCTGACATTCCATGTTCTAAGATCCCCCCTCAACTCTGACATTCCATGTTCTGATATTCCATGTTCTAAGATCCCCCCCAGCTCTGACATTCCGTGCTCTAAGGTCCCCCCCAGCTCTGACATTCCATGCTCTAAGGTCCCCCCCAGCTCTGACATTCCATGCTCTAAGGTCCCCCCCAGCTCTGACATTCCATGCTCTAAGGTCCCCCCCAGCTCTGACATTCCATGCTCTAAGGTCCCCCCCAGCTCTGACATTCCATGCTCTAAGGTTCCCCCCCCAGCTCTGACATTCCACGCTCGAAGGTTCCCTCCTGATTTTGACATTCCATGCTCTAAGGTTCCCCCAGCTCTGACATTCCATGTTCTGATATTCCATGTTCTAAGAGCCCCCCAGCTCTAACATTCCATGCTCTAAGTCCCCCCACAGCCCTGACATTCCATGCTCTAAGTCCCCCCCAGCTCTGACATTCCATGCTCTAAGGTTCCCCCTCAGCTCTGACATTCCATGTTCTGACATTCCATGCTCTAAGGTTCCCCCCAGCTCTGACATTTCCATGTTCTGATATTCCATGTTCTAAGATCCCCCCAGCTCTGACATTCCATGTTCTGATATCCATGTTCTAAGATCCCCCCCAGCTCTGACATTCCATGTTCTGATATTCCATGTTCTAAGATCCCCCCTCAACTCTGACATTCCATGTTCTGATATTCCATGTTCTAAGGTCCCCCCCAGCTCTGACATTCCATGCTCTAAGGCCCCCCCAGCTCTGACATTCCTTGCTCTAAGGTCCCCCAGCTCTGACATTCCATGCTCTAAGGTCCCCCCCAGCTCTGACATTCCATGCTCTAAGGTCCCCCCCAGCTCTGACATTCCATGCTCTAAGGTCCCCCCAGCTCTGACATTCCATGCTCTAAGGTCCCCCCAGCTCTGACATTCCATGCTCTAAGGTCCCCCAGCTCTGACATTCCATGCTCTAAGGTTCCCCCCTCAGCTCTGACATTCCATGTTCTGATATTCCATTCTAAGCTCCCCCCAGCTCTGACATTCCATGTTCTGATATTCCATGTTCTAAGATCCCCCCCAGCTCTGACATTCCATGTTCTGATATTCCATGTTCTAAGATCCCCCCCAGCTCTGACATTCCATGCTCTAAGTCCCCCCCAGCTCTGACATTCCATGCTCTAAGGTCCCCCCCAGCTCTGACATTCCATGCTCTAAGGTCCCCCCAGCTCTGACATTCCATGCTCTAAGTCCCCCCCAGCTCTGACATTCCATGCTCTAAGGTCCCCCCCAGCTCTGACATTCCATGCTCTAAGGTCCCCCCCAGCTCTGACATTCCATGCTCTAAGGTTCCCCCCCAGCTCTGACATTCCATGTTCTGATATTCCATGTTCTAAGATCCCCCCCAGCTCTGACATTCCATGCTCTAAGGTCCCCCCCAGCTCTGACATTCCATGCTCTAAGGTTCCCCCCTCAGCTCTGACATTCCATGTTCTGATATTCCATGCTCTAAGGTTCCCCCCCAGCTCTGACATTCCACGCTCGAAGGTTCCCTCCTGATTTTGACATTCCATGCTCTAAGGTTCCCCCAGCTCTGACATTCCATGTTCTGATATTCCATGTTCTAAGATCCCCCCAGCTCTAACATTCCATGCTCTAAGGTCCCCACAGCCCTGACATTCCATGCTCTAAGGTCCCCCCAGCTCTGACATTCCATGCTCTAAGGTTCCCCCCTCAGCTCTGACATTCCATGTTCTGATATTCCATGTTCTAAGCTCCCCCCCAGCTCTGACATTCCATGTTCTGATATTCCATGTTCTAAGATCCCCCCCAGCTCTGACATTCCATGTTCTGATATTCCATGTTCTAAGGTCCCCCCTCAACTCTGACATTCCATGTTCTGATATTCCATGTTCTAAGGTCCCCCCCATGTTCTGATATTCCATGTTCTAAGATCCCCCCCAGCTCTGACATTCCATGTTCTGATATTCCATGCTCTAAGATCCCCCCTCAACTCTGACATTCCATGTTCTGATATTCCATGTTCTAAGGTCCCCCCCAGCTCTGACATTCCATGCTCTAAGGTCCCCCCCAGCTCTGACATTCCATGCTCTAAGGTCCCCCCCAGCTCTGACATTCCATGCTCTAAGGTCCCCCCACTCTGACATTCCATGCTCTAAGGTCCCCCAGCTCTGACATTCCATGCTCTAAGTTCCCCCCTCAGCTCTGACATTCCATGTTCTGATATTCCATGCTCTAAGGTTCCCCCCCAGCTCTGACATTCCACGCTCGAAGGTTCCCTCCTGATTTTGACATTCCATGCTCTAAGGTTCCCCCAGCTCTGACATTCCATGTTCTGATATTCCATGTTCTAAGATCCCCCCCAGCTCTAACATTCCATGCTCTAAGGTCCCCCACAGCCCTGACATTCCATGCTCTAAGGTCCCCCCAGCTCTGACATTCCATGCTCTAAGGTTCCCCCCTCAGCTCTGACATTCCATGTTCTGACATTCCATGCTCTAAGGTTCCCCCCCAGCTCTGACATTCCATGTTCTGATATTCCATGTTCTAAGATCCCCCCCAGCTCTGACATTCCATGTTCTAAGATCCCCCTCAGCTCTGACATTCCATGTTCTGATATTCCATGTTCTAAGATCCCCCCCAGCTCTGACCCTTTGTGTTTCTAGGCCCCTCCTCTAAGGCCCCTCCATCCCAGCTGAGGGGTCTCTCTGCGAGGAGGCGGGGGAAGGTTCCTCTCCCAGCTCAGGCCTTTGGTGCTGGGGGCACAGACCAGGTCCCGACCCTGCAATGGCTGCAGTTCCCCAAATGGAATCCCCAGATCAGGGTGTAGAAACCAGGATGTTAAGGGGGCTCCATGACCCCAATGGGTGGCGCCATGGAAGAAGCCCTGGGGAGGGGCCACCTTGTCTGTCCTCCATCAGGCAGAATGGGGGTGGGGGGTCACGGAGGGAGCCAAGAGACTCTGGCCACCCCCACCCTGGGGAGGCCCCCTCCCCCAGCCCCCTGAGGGGGAGGGGAGGATGGGGGGGTGGCTCCTCCGCAGCGGATCTTCTCCTAGAGTAAGAAGTGGGGGGCGTCAAAGGAGGTCGTATGGAGTCACCCTGGCAGGGGGTGTTCCCTGAGAGGGGGAAATGGGTGTGTGTGGGGGCAGGGGGCTCTCTCAGGTACATGCGCGTGGCCTGCAGCCTTAGGGACACGGTGGGGAAGGGGGGTAAAATCAAATGACCGCATCCGCCGCGCAGTGAGAGGAACAGAGGGGGCCGGGGGGGGGGGGAAGAGGGCGGGGCCTGAGTGGCTGCATTTTGGCAGGCATTGGCACGATCAGAGAGTAATGAGTGACAGCGCAGGGGCGGGGCTTCCCAGGGATTCCCAATCAGGATAGTTTTTTTTTTTCTCTTTTGTCCTTCCTCGTGTGAGCTGGTGGTGGCGTGGAGAAAAGAGCCAGGCCTAGAGTCAGAAAGATCTGAGTTCAAATCCTGTCTTAGACACTTACTAGCTGCGTGACCCTAACCCCCGTTTGCTTCAGTTTCCCCATGTGAAATTGGGGCTAATAATAGCATCACAGGGCTGCGGGGGGAATCAGACGAGATACTCATCTCGGGGTGCTTGGCACGGGGCTAGGCACACGCTTGTCCCTCGTGGTCTCTGGCTGGGGCAGACCCTCACCCGCTCCTCACAGCCACTCACGGGCTTTTCCCCAAATGCAGGTCACCCCTCGTCCAACACTGCCGCGGCTCCCTGTCACCCCCAGGACCGAGCACTGGACGCTCTGCTTGGAGCTCAAAGCCCCTTATGACCTGCCCCCAAGCCACCCAACTTTCCCGTCCCCTTGCACCGCCCACGTGCTCTTCCATCCACTGCCCCAGCCTCCTGGCTGGGTCCGCCTCTGGGCTCCGGCCATTCCCTCTGGCCGGCCTGCGCTCCCTCCTCCGCTCTGACCGCTGACCTCCCTCGGCCCCACGCCTTGAATTCCAGCCTAGTCGCTGCGGGTCCTCCCAGTGACCCTCTCTGCGTCTCCCCGGGACAGAGACAAGCTTTCGTGTCCCCCGGCTTAGTACAATGCCTGGCATACAGCAAGCGCTGCATAAATGCTTCCTGGCTTGCGAGCGCTTGATGCCCGTTGTAGGGCTCGAACCCTGGCCATGCCGACCTCGAGATGGACCCCACGTCTGGATGCTCACTGCTTTGCACATTAGCGTGAACCCCGGGTCTGGGAAGCGGACTCCTCTTTTTCTCCCTCCCCCAGAAGTCCTCATATTCTCACCCACAGTTATGTCGTTTGGCCTCTGCTCAACCAGGTGGATTGTCCCCTGATTTCTTCCCTCTTTTGGACTCAGTTTTCTCATTTGTCAAATGATGGGGTTGGACACTATCCCTCCAGGGTCCATCCCCACCCCCCCAAAAAAATTTCAACATCTCTCCTATAAACAGCAAATGTATTTATTTTCACAGCCCAAGTTGATTTCTATGGGTGTGATAAAGCTCTTATTTTTGTCATTCTATGTCAGAGGTGTGTTCTCTTGGGCCCTCAGTTTGCAGAGATAATCCAGACAATATTTCACTGGTCCACGTGGCTCTAGTTTTTATAGGATTTTTCCTAAAACAAACAAAAAGAGCAAACCAGCTGAAATTCGGAGCATCTGTATTATCTCTCTTTTACAGATGAGGAAGTGAAGCTCAGGGCCACCATGCGACTTGCCTGTGGTCACCAAGGTAGGAAGCCTCCGTAAAGCTAGTCTAGGCCAGGTAACTCCTCTGCAGAGGAGCCCAGAAAGAAGCGACTGACCTAAGGTCACTCCAAGCTCAACAGCAGCAGGATGGGCATTTGGAGGTTAAATCTTTCCTAATGCCCCAAGTCCCGAGGGCCCCGGAGCTCTCACCTGTCACCGAAATCTCTGCGGGGTCACTGATCTCCGAAGTCAAGATGGGCTTCGTCCAGGTGAGGTAGCGGCACCTGTAACGGCCCCCATCCTGGGGCTTGGCGTTCCTCAGCAGGAAGTCGACCGTGTACTCACTCACGCGCTGATGGGTCACTTCCAGCTCTGTGCTTTCTCCGTCTCTGAAGAGCTGGAAATTGGAATTGGGGACCCGTCCCGAGCAGCGCAGGGCTGCGTCCTTCCCGGGGGTCACCACAGGGCTCAAGGGATGCAGCGTGGGCTTGGGGAAGAGGCCTGTGACAGAGGAGAGCCCCCCAGCCCTGGGCGTTAGAGGTGGAAGGTCTGGCTGGCACTCCATCTCTCCGGGTCTTGGATTCTCAACCTTCCACATGCAGAGCCTCCCCTGGAATGGGTAACTAGGTAATTGGGCAAGCCCCTTTCCCCTTCTGGCCTCAGTTTCCCCACTGGCCCTTAAGAGGGCAGGACTGAGCTCTGCACATGCAAAGGAAGCATCCTGCCCCTGCCCTTGGCAGCACTTTCGCCATCCCTAAAATGACTGAATGATGCCCAAGGTCCTCAGCCAGGCTAGAATCTCATTGTTTGAGTATCTTTGATGTAGTTTCTGTTGATTTCAGGCAAGTCTCTGCCCCCTGGTGGCCTGAATTTGCTGTTGAGTTGTTTCAGTGTGTCTGGCCATTTGGGGTTTTTTTTGGCAAAGCTCCTGGAGGGGTTTGCCAGCTCCTTCTCCAGCTCATTTTACATATGAGGAAACTGAGGCAGACAGGGTGAAGTGACTCGCCTAAGGTCACACAGTCAGTAAGTGTCTGAGTCTGGATTTGAACTCAGGGAGTTGAGTCTTCCTGATTCCAGGCCCAGGGCTCTGTGCACTATGGTGACCCCAGCTGCCTTTTCTGGCTATTGGAGCTGTCCAAAAGTGGCATTCTGGGCTGCTTGAGATGGTGGCATTATCCCTACCGGGCCCTAATCCTTCCTGACCTCTCAGCAGGCTTTGCCATGGTTGTTCACTCTGTCCTCCCTTCCACCCTCTTCTTTGGGTCTTTGTGACTCTCCTCCCCTCTGACTTTCCCTTCTCAGTCTACATTTCTACCTTTCCCCTAATTGAGTCTCTCCTGCCTCACCCCAGCTTTTTTCTTTCTATACTCAGCTCCCATTATCACCACAATTCCAGATTTACAAATCCAATGGGTCTGCATCTCCAACCTTCACCCCGCTGGAAATTTTCATTTGCATGTCCCACAGGCACCAGAAGCTTTAGGTGGCCCAAGCAGAATTGCCTTTGTCCGCCAGCAAACCAGAACGTCCCTCTCTGGCCAGGGCACCACCATCCTTCCAATCCCTTACATTTTCAGCCTTGGGGTCACCGTATCTCCTCCCCTCCCTTTCTTCCCCATCCAAAGCTCAGCATTGGCAGCCCTGTAGCCTGGCATGTATCCACCCCCTCCTCTCTGCCCTGGGCGGCCAAGTGGAGGAGGATGGGCTGGAGGGAGGGAGACCCACCAGGAGTCCACAGCAGGAGTCAGGGCGGGAGAGGATGTGGGTCTGCCCAGGCAGCCCTGCCGGGGAGGCTGGAAGTGGAGCCTTAGACTTTTATCCATCATGGGAGGTCTGGCTGCCCCCTGGTCGGGGGGCTGGGCTAGCTAGCACCGCCTCTGTCCTTCCCATCCTGACCTCCTACACCTACCATTTCACCCTTTAGGTGGGCTGGCAGGGAGGGCAGGCCCAAGGCCCAGGCAGTGAAGCTTCGAAGCTCCAGGGTCCAAGGTCAGGGCGAGACAAACAGTACTGGTCTAGGGTGGTTGGTTGTGGCAGAGATGGTGTTAGAAGAATGTCAAGAGATAGGTTTCAGCTGCTCTTGCCCACAATGCCCCTTCCTCTCTTTCAGACTTGGCCCTAGCATGACAGTGTGTCCTTCTGCGTGTTACTCCCCTGGGGGGGCTTGACTTCAGGACGTTCAGGACACAGATGAGCTTTAAGGTAGCTATGGTAGGGCCTTTCCCTCTCTGGCCTCAGTCTATGCCCTCTGTCCAGCGGACGGTGGGACTACCTGGTCTGGAAGGAGCTGACCCTAGTGGCTCGTGCGACCTCCACAGTGCCAGCGCTGACAGTCCGTGATTCTTCAGCGAGCTAGGACTCACACACCCTTCTCAGCCCTTTGCTTCTTCAGATGTTACGCCCTGTCTGCCCACCTCCCAGAAAGCCCGGCCTGCCCCCTCACCATCAACTTGAACCTCCACATCCTCACTCGCTGGGGACCCGGCGAATGGGGCGACTGTCTCAAAGTAAATGCAGCTGTAATTGCCCGAGTCATAAGCCATGGCGTCGGAGAGGACAAAGTCAGCGCGGGACCCAGCAGGGCTCAGCACCTGCACAGGCTGACGCGAGCCTTTTTTCAGCAGGGCGAACCTCACATTGGGGCGGGCCCCTAGGCACTGAAGCGTCACATTGGTCCCTCGAGAAATCACGGCATCCTGGGGCTGCACTGAGAGCGAAGGCTTGTCCAATGTTCCTGGAGACAGAAAAGGCCACACAATGTTAGCCCCAGGAGGAGTCTGAACATAGAATGCGGAAAATCAGAGCCCAGAGGAGCCTTAGGACACAGAACGCGGAGAGCCAGAACCTGGAGGGACCTCAGGACACAGAACGTGGAGAGTCAGAACCCGGAGGGGCCTTAGGACACAGAATAATAGCATTGGAAGGGACCTTAGAACATAAAACTCTGAAAGTCAGGAAAAAAAGTTTCTTACAATAATGAAATCAAGACCATCTTGTTATGCAGAGCAGGAAACAGAACTTGACCATGAGGCCGGGGCCCATGGAATCTGCAGCAGAGCTGGGAATGGGGTCCAAGACCCTCCCAGTGTTCTCTTACGCAGAACCCTGAGGCTGGGGGTGAGGCCACTGATTCTGGATCATGGACCAGCCCTTGGGATCATAGACAGGACCTTTGAGATCAGCTGACCCAGCACCTTCCCCTTTGATAGATGAGGGTGCAGAGGCCCAGAGAGTTAGGAAAACTGGCCCAGAGTTGCACAGAATAGCTAGGGACAGAGCTGGGATTTGGACCCTGGGGCTCTGCTGCGTGTCCCAGGCTTCTTCCTCTGGGGGAGTGGGGCAGTGTGAAGTCATGAACAGAGTGCTCAGTCTGGAATCAGGAGGACTGGCTTTGGATGCCACCTGGCACACATTCTAGAAGCGTGCCCCTAGCCAAGTTACCATTCCTCGCAGGGTCCTTGCAAAGATTACATGAGATAATGTATGTCAAGTGTTTTGCAAACTTGAAAGTGCTGAATAAATGTGAGCTGCTATCATCACACCACACCGCCACAATTTCGTCCTTAGCTGCTAATCCGATTGATCAATAAGTATTTATTAAGCACTTACTGTCTGCCACCAGGCAAAGAACAGAACTATCCCTTCTCACTAGGATTTTCCCTTCTAATGGGGAAGACAAGCATTTGTAGAATGGATGTAGCAATTATGAGATGAATGAAGACAAATCTTATCCAAAGAAGTGGAGCACACGGTGGTTTGGGGGGGAGGCAGAAGAAAGACATCATGTAGAAGATGAGCTTTCATGGGTGGTAAGCAAGGATGCCCAGATGGCAGAGTGAAGCTCAGGCTGGAAAGACAGGTTGGGGCTGGCTGGGAAGGGCTTTACCAACTGAGCAGAGGGCTTAGGGTAACAGGAAACCAGGGGTTGAACAGGGGAGTCTCATGGTCTGACCTGCACATAAGGAAAATCACTTTGCAGAAGTGGGTGGGATGGCCCGAGCAGAGAGAGACTTGAGGCAGGGAGGGCAATGAGGAGGCCATGGCAGCGATCCAGGCCAGAGGGGGTAGCGGGATGGTTGCCTCAACTCAGGCAGTAGCTGAAGGAGTGGAAGGAAGGGGTCAAAGGGTCAAAATGACAAGATTTGGCAACAGGTTGAATATGTTGGGGGGGGAGGGGGAGGGGAGATGAGGCCAGGACAACGCTGAGATTATCAAGCTGGGAGACTGGAAGGATGGTGGTACCTTTGACAGAAACAGGAAAATCTGGAAGAGGGGAGGTAATTGGTGACACATGACTGAAGCTGGGGGAGAGACTGGGGCTGTCTGTCTGTCTGTCTACTTATCTATCTCTCTGCCTATCTATCTTCCTGCCTATCTATCTATCTATCTATCTATCTATCTATCTATCTATCTATCCATCTATCTATCCATCTATCTATCTATCTATCTATCTATCTATCTATCTATCTATCTATCTATCTATCTATGTTCCTATCTATGTTCTATCTATCTATGTTCCTATCTATGTTCTATCTATCATCTATTTACCTATGTATCTATCTTCCTGTCTGTCTGTCTACTTATGTATCTCTCTGCCTGCCTGCCTGTCTGTCTGTCTGTCTATCTATATATCTATCTATCTATCCATCATCTTTCTAGCTCTCTATCTATCCATCCACCCATATCTGGGAGTAATCTACATAACGATGATAATTTAGCCTGTGGGAGCTGATGAGGGAGGAGGAGAGGGGAGGAGAGGAGAGGAGAGGAGAGGAGAGGAGAGGAGAGGAGAGGAGAGAGAGAGAGAGAGGAGAGGAGAGGAGAGGAGAGGAGAGGAGAGGAGAGGAGAGGAGAGGGCCAAAGGCAGAACCTTGGGGATCATTCCCAGGTAGGTGGCATGGTATGAATGATGGGCTGTGAAAGGCAGTTAAGAAATGGTCAGACAGGTAGGAGGAGAATCCTGAGAAAGCAGGGTCATGGCAACCCAGAAAGAAGGGAACTATCCAGGTGGAGAATGTGGTCAATAGGGTCAAAGGCCAAAGAGAGGGCAGCATGAGAAGAGGTTATCAGATTCGCCCAAATCTTTGCAGAGCGGTGTCTGTTGAAGCCAGACCACAAGGGACAGAGGAGTGAGTGAGAGGGAGGGAAGGGGAGGCAGTGAGCACAGAGGGCTTTTTCCAGGAGTTGGGCCGAGAAGGGGAGGAGAGGTCTAGGGCAGTGGCCTGAGGTAGTTGGAGAGTCCCGTGAAGGGTTTTGAAGCTGGAGGGGGGAGCCCCACCCACACACTTTCTGCCCCTGCCATCTTGACTCTGGAGCTAGACAGCACAGCCTGGGTGGAGAAGACACATCTTTCGAAGGATGGGGCTGGGGAGATCACCATGGGAAAAGCAGCTTAGTTTTGCTCTCCTCGGCCCCAGAGGGCAGCGTTATCTCCGGAGCCGGGACAGCCCACACATCTGACTTTTGGGAGGGCAGGATTCTTCCTTGACCTTTGCAGCAGGAGAGGGCCATCTCTGGCCCCTGGACCCAGACGGCTCCGCAGGAGACAGTGAGGCTGCTGACTGCCCAGCCCTCCTCACTTAAATCCAGTTCCCTTGCATGTCATGGTATCCCCTCCCTGATGGCACGGTCCTCTTTGAGAAGGAAGGATAAACCACAGCAGGAGGGGAACCAGACTGAGAAAGCTGGGGCTGACTCTGTCAGAGCGCTGGAGGTGGCAGAGGCCATCTGAGGCGCTCCAGCCCTGGCAGGAGGTACAGCAGCATCTTCCCTCTTTGGCAGAGGCAGAAACAGGGGCCCTTGAGGCAAAGGGCCTTGCCCCAAACAGCCGGCTGGGGAGCCGAGTACCATGCCATGCACTCTTTGCTGCTGTCCCTGGGGAGCATCGCCCCACGACTGACTTTTGTGTGACCTTGGGCAAGTCATTTCCCAGGCTGGGCCTCAGTTTACTCATCTATCTGTGTCTATCTGTGTGCATGTTGTCTCTCCCATCCAGTATAAGCTCCTGGAGGGCAGGGCCTGTCTTTTACCTTTTTTTGTATCCCCCAGCGCTTAGCACAGCACCTGGCACATAATAGCTGCTTAATCCATATTGATGAATCAGTTGATTGAAGAGCAAGGGGCAGGATGCCGGCCTCCCCAGGACCCTTCCCTGCTCCTTCCCCTGGCCCTGCTCACCTGTGGTCAGGACAAGCTCCAGGGACTCGCTGTCTTCTGACCAGATCAGTGGCCCTTCCCTAAAACGGTAGCGGCAGCTGTATCTGCCCCCAGCCCCGGGTTCCAGATCTTTCAGGTGGAAGTCTATCAGCTGGGGGTCCGTTGAAGACATCATAGGGACAAACACCTCCTCTCCATCTTTCAACAGCTTGAATTCCAGCCCTGAGAACCTTGTCCTGCACCGGAAGGTCACGGAGCCTCCAGGCCTGATGACCAGGTTAACCCACGATTCGAGAGAGGGCTTTGGGAGGGAGTCTGGGTGGGGAATTGAGTCAATCTCATCAGACAGATGCTGCCCTTCATCCACCACCCACCGGACCCACTCTGTGCACCCACTTCTGGTGCTAGTACTGCGGGGTGTGCGCAAAGAAAAGACCCCAGAGTTGCCCTTGCTGAGGGAGGAGAGATCAGGAAAGGTGAAGAGGCTGGTGTCTGTGAGACCAAGAGAGGGGAGAGTGGGCCACAGTGCCAGAAGCTGCAGAGGGCTCAGGGACGAGAGGACTGACAAGTGGGGGTGCCCCCGTGCGGGATGGGAGGGAGAGTCGCCCACGAGCGCCAGGGGGCTCCCACACTCGGAGCTGACCAGTGTGATGTGGCAGCTTCCCATCTGCTAGCCTTCCTCCGCCTGGTCACTCCTCAACTCCCTGGATGTCCTCCTCCTCCCCTCCCCCTCCTCTTCCTCCTCCTTCTTTCTCCCCCTCCTCCCCCTCTTCCTCCTCCTTTCTCCTCCTCTCTCCTCTTCCTCCTCTTCCTCCTCCCCACCTTGTGTCTCAGTCTTTCTGACCTCTCGGGTCTCCCTGAATGCCCCCAAGGCTCTGGGCGCTCCCCTTCCCAGGGTTACCCAGAGGGCTGTGGTCAGAGCAGCATTTCCCTCAGCTGGGCGTGGGCTCCCGTCTGTGCTTGCTTGCCCTGCCCTCACCTGGGATCACAACGTGTACGGTCTCACTGGGTGCTGACCTCACCCTGGAGGCTGTTGTGGGGGGTCGGTACTGGCAGGTGTAGTTCCCAGGGCTCTTAATGATGAAGGTGGTTTCCGGTTTGGGGGTGTGGGAGCTGTCCACAGGACCCTGCTCTCCTTCCTGATACAGGTCAAAGGTCATGCCCAGCAGCCTCCCCTGGCAGTGCAGCTCAGTCTGCAGGCCATGGAGAATCCAAGGGCCTGGCTCAGCCTGGAGGGAAGGTGCTGGGAGGGGCTCTGTTAGGATTGAAAATGTTAGAGCATCTGAGAACATGGAACCTAGAACCTAGAGAGGAGTGGAGAACCTGCAGCCTCAAGGCCACATGTGGCTCTCTAGGTCCTTGGGTGCAGCCTTTTGACTGAGTCCAAGTTTGTCAGAACAAATCCTTTTGTTAAGGGGATTTGTTGTTAAGTTTGGGTTCAGTCAAAGGGCTGCACTTGAGGACCTTGAGGCTGCAGGTTCCCCACCCCTGAAGAATGGCTGAGCTCAGAACCTTAGAACAGAAGATATGGACATCAGAAGGGGAAGGGACCTGAGAAGGCTGCGCGTCTCCTTGGAAGCCATTTCATCCAACTCCTGAATTTTCCCTCTTATTGTTAGGAGGGGCTGGCGTGTCATGTTTTGCTCAAGTAGATTATGTGTGTCCTGTGTCTGTCTAGATGTGGCTGTCAGGGGGGTATTGAATAGATAGTAGTAGTAGTAGTAATACTTTGAGCTTGGGTTACAATATTTTGGTATTCGTTATCAAGACTATTTTTTGCAAGACAGTCACATCCCATTATCTCCTCCTTTAGCACCTTTCCTTTTAAGAAAGAAAAAGTTAAACAAACCCATTCAGTCTTTACATCTGACTGCATCCTAGCCCCTTATTTTACCCTCACGTTGTGTCGTTTTCCTACAGAAAGAACAAGGGGGCAGCGAGGGAGACGGTCAGAGACAGAGACCAAAAGACAGAGAGAGATAGACAGACACAGAGACAGAGAGACAAAGAGAGAAGAGAGAAACAGAGAGGAGGGAGAGACAGAGACAGAGGGAGAGAGAGAAAGAGGGAGAGAGACAGAGAGATGGGGGAGAGAGAGACAGAGACAGAGACAGAGAGAGAGGAGAGAGAGGAGAGAGAGAAGAGAGAGGGAGGGAGGGAGAGAGAGAGAGATGGGGGGGAAAGAGAGAGGAGAAAGAGAAAGAGAAAGAGAGAGAGAGAGAATGCAAATGGGCAGGTGACAGCGGGAGGCATCCTCTGGTTAGTGGCTCCCCTCCCTCTGGTTCCAGGGCCTGGAGCTAGAGATTTCCTAAGACTGGGGGCCCCTGCTCCCCACATCCCTAGGAACTTTCCATGCCTAGTCCAGAGATCAAGCGATGAGAATGTGGGCGGTAGCCTACATCACCTGGTGCAGAAAGGAGAAGGAAGAAGAGTGGAGTGGAGGACAGATGTTGGCAGTGGACATCTGGTGCACTCAGCCTCCTCACCCGCTCTGATCTCCCCACTTCCCACCTGCCAGCCCACTGGGGCAGGGGTCAGAGTTTGGAGACCCACAGCCATCTCCCCACTCACCTGCCCCTGTCACCTCCACTGGGGCACTTATTAGACCCCAGTGGTTTTCTGCCTGTTGGATCCGGCACCGGTAAATGCCCTTGTTGTCAGCTGTCACTGGCCCCAGTGGGAACCTGGCATAGGTTTCAAGGGCAGAAAGGGAAGAGAAAATTTTCCCATCTTTCAGCAGCTGGAATTTCATTGCCAGAGTATTAGTCGCCAGGCACTGGAGGGTCACGTTGGCCCAGGGTGAGGATGGGGATTCAGACTCTATCCAGAGGCGAGGGGTTGTGTCTACAACTGTGAAAGTTCCCAGAGAATTTATTAAGAGTCTACTACCACACTTAGCTTCTATTTGCCTCAGTTTCCTCATCTGTAGAAATGGGGGTAGTCATAGCACACACCTCTCAAGGTTGTGAGGATCAAATGAGTTAACATTTGTAAAGCGCTTAGCAAAATGCCTGGCACATAGTAGGTGCTAAATAAATGTTAGCTATAATTATTGTTGCCACGTGCCAGGCACTGTGCTAAGTATTCGGAGGGATCTTAAGCCATGTAGAATGCATAGACTGTCAGAGATTGGAGAACCTTTCAATACAGAATGGAGAAAGTTGGAGCCGGGACGGGACCTAGAACACAGAATATCAGATTTGGTAGGAAAGGAAGGAAAACCCCCCAAATTCATTGCTTTACAAATATTATCTCTGTTGATACAACTACCTTGGAGGATAGGTGCTATTATTATCCCTGCTTTACCGTTGAGGAAACTGAAGCAGACAGCAGTGAAGAGACTTGCCCTTGCACACAGCTAGTTAAATGTCTGAGGTCAGATTTGAACTTGGATCTACCCAGTGCTGTAGCCACTGGGCTACCTAGTGATTTTGAACTGATTGATTTTGGATTTGGGGCTGGGCAGAGAGGAAAGTGAAGTGAGTGCAGCAGTTGGCCTGGGGGAGTACTGAGGGATAGAGGGTCTGGAGGTCAGGGAAAGGACGAAGTGTAGGTGGAGAGAAAGAGGGAATGCTAGAAAGTTCTGCTTCAGCAGAGGAATTTCTGAATTCTTAATCTGGGCAGGGGTCGTGGTTTCCTGCTGTCCATTTCAGGGTTCCACACACCTGTCCAGCTGTCCCTCCTTCCCCCCTGGCTCCAGCCCTCCCTCCTTCCCCTCTGGCACCCCTGTGGGCCCAGATCTTATGGGCTTGCTCACCTAAGCCTGCCTCTGCCTCCATCCCTGGGTCCAGCCAAAGCCCTGCAGGAGAGAGAGCAGAATCACAGCATGTTTGAATGAAAAGAGAGAATGCCAAGAAAAGCTGATGCAGATAGAGTGTGCTCTGCCAAGGTCTGAGTACCTGTTATTTCATTTTTAGCCTTGGGACCACCTGTGAGACGGGCATTTCAGGAATTATTATCTCCCCATTTTACAGATGATCACACTGAGCCCCAGCAAAGTTTGTAGAAGGTGGTGACACACCATCCTCAGGCTCTGTCCAGCAGCCCATGAGTCGTGAATTAGGGAGTAGAGCACAGTGAACAGGTCAACCACCACCCTAAGGATGTCCAGAATGGGGAGGGAGAAGAGTCTGGTCAGAGCAGGAGGGATGATGGCGGGAAGGGAGAGAAAAGCTCAGAGGTGAGAATGAAGACTGGGCGTAGGAGGAATGAGGCGAGCGGGAGGAGGGGAGCTGGGGGCGGAGGGCGGCTTGGAGGTGGAGCCTGGAGACCCCACGAGAGATGGCCTCTCCTTCCCGGGCCAGATGAGGAGAAGCCAGTCATCCGTAGAGACAGGAGGCATGTGGGGTGTTTGAGGAGGTAGGAGAACGCTTGGAGCTCCGGCTTCGGGAGCAGGCTAGGGATGGCGGGGCGGCAGTGAAGGCGGATGCGGGGGGAGGGGGGGGACGGCCCCAGGCGGTCCCGGTGTGTGTGATGACTTCCTCCAGTGGTGCTTGGGGGCGCACCTGGGAGAGTGGAGAAGGTTGACCGTGGCGGTGCCCCAAGACAGGACGCGGGGGGAGACAGGACAGGGAGAGAAGGATTCAAGGGTGGAGGCCAGCCTGTCATTCATCCACCGGCTCCACCATGGGACCAAGAATGGGGATGGAGAAGCATGAGCCTCTGGCTGAGGAAGCAGCGTCAGAGCAGGGTGCCATCCCACTCACCTAAAAGGAGCAGAATAGTGAGCCGGGCAGCCATGGCTCGTGCCTTCTCCCACCCAACCTGGCTCCGAGGATCTTCTTGGGGCAGGGAGGCTGTGGCCGGGCGGAGGGAATGGTTGGGAAGTCTCTTAAGAGAGCAGAGATGCTCTGGGCTCCCCTCCCCCTCCCCCAGCTCATGCTTCCTTTGGCCAATGGTAACTGTCCCCGTCAGGTCATTCCTCTGGCCAAGGTCACTGTTAGCTCTTCCAGGCCTGGGGAGCCCAGAGTGGCCTGCTGACGCATCGCTATTGCTTCCGCCCCCTCTGGATCTGACCCCCGACTAAACTGCAAATAAGACAAAGTCCATTTTTGACCATCACCCTTCCTCCAAAAAACTCCACGTGATAGAGGAAACAGGGCTGGACTGGAAATCACGAGACCTGGATTCTGATGCTGCCTCCTCCAGGGACTTGCTGGATGACCCTGGGCAAAGCATTTCCTTTTCTTGGCCTCAGTTTGCCTGCCTGTAAAACGACTGGGTTGAACTAGATGGGCTTTACTGAATGTTTCCAACCCTGCATTCACTGTTATTTTTCCAGCAATCCGTGTTCTGTATGAGCACGTGTTCGGTGCTCATGCCTTAGATTCCCAAGACCCTCCCAACACTGGCATTTCTGGAGTCATACCTAGCTCAGTCAATATTCATTCGTTGAGCATCTGCTGTGTGTCAGGAACTGGGCTAAGTGCTGGGATACGAAAAGAGGCGAAAGACAGTGCCTGCCCTCACGGAGGGTTACAGTCTAATGGGGGAGCCTGTATGCAAGCAGCTACGAGCAAATAAATGATATCCAGGCTAAAAAGGAAGGAAATAAGAGAGGGAAGGCAATAGAATTAAGAGGGGTTCAGGAAGGCTCCCTGAGGAAGATGGGATTTTAGTTGGGACACAAAGGAAACCAGGAAGGCTGGTAGGCAGAGATGAGGGGGAGAGTGCCCAGAACCAATAGGTGTGGGTCTTGTTCATGGAACAGCCAGCAGGCTGGGGCAATGGATTGAAGGGTCTGAGGAGGGGAGTGAGGTGTGAGAAGGCTGGGAGGAAAGGAGGAGGGCAGGTGATGAAGAGCTTTGAATGCCAAGCAGAGTGTTTTCTACTTAATACTGGAGGTGATAAAGAGCCACTGGGGGTGACTGAGTAAGGGGTGGCATGATCAGACCCGTGTTTTAGGATGGAGGATGGGCTGGTGTAGGGAAGGACTGGAGGCAGGCAGATCCCCTAGCAGCTACTGCAATAATCCAGGGGTGAGGTGATGAGGGCCTGCCCCAGGGTAGGAGAGAAGGGGGCATATGCCTGCGATGCCGCAGAGGTGAAGTTGCCAGGCTGCTCATGCTCCTGGCTGCTTGGGGAGCGCATGAGGCGATGCCGTTTATGCAATCTTTTTCATGCCAACCACAGTTTGCTGACTCCTTAGCCTGGGCTTTTTTGCTATCTGCAGGCTCAGGGCAGTGCAAGGGAGAGGCACATGGGTGGTGGTCAGGCTAAGGCAGTCACTGATGGGGGGAGGGCCAGGTAATAATAAAATATACTAACTGACACTGCTCTGGCACTGACTGTGTGGCACCACTGCACTAACCGCTTTCCAAATTCAGCTCGTTTGATCCTCACAACAGCCCTGTCAGCTAGTTGCTATTGTTATCCCCACTTTTATAAATGAGGCAAACAGGGTGAAGTGACCTGCCCAGGGTCACAGAGGCGTAAGTGTCTGAGGCCAAACTCAAGTCTTCCTGATGCCGGGTCCGGCACTCTATCCACTGAGCCGTCTTGCTGTCCAAGGCAGGGACACATGTGGGGGTGTGGGCTTAATTGGTGTGACTGAAAGGACAGGGACAATGAGTGATAGTGCAGGGTATCAGGACAGGGAAGAAAAGGGGAGAATGGTTCCAAGGGTCTGAAAGAGACCTGGACGGACACCGAGAGACACATGGAGACAGATTCTGGAAAGTCAGAGACAGACACAAGCAGACAGAGAAAGAGACTGACCCACCGACTACACTGAGACTGAGATTATCTTGAACCATCTAACTATGAGGAATATGAAAAAAGACACAGACTAGTCAGTCATAAATTGGGGGCAAGAGGCATAGACTTTACAGGCATATTCAGAGACAGTCACACAGATAAAGGGGAGACAGACCAGAAAAACCACAAAAGGGACACCCAGAGCCAGAGGCATAGAGGCACACTTGGATGAGGACACAGGACTGTGAGGAGGATTCAGGACAGTGAGACAGATGTGCAGATGAGACTAGTTAGAAGTTATGCAAATAAAGAGTCACAGAGGTCTGAGGCAATCCGGATATGTTACAGTATCCAATCCCAACCTTCCTTAAGCCTGTAGGAAGGCCGGGTGTCACTTAGTTAACTACCCAGTGAGGGAACGCCCTGCAGCTCTGAGCTGCCCGTCAGATGACACTCTGTCACACAGAGCCCAATGGCCTCTTCAATGTCTCTCCCCTGGGCGAGACAGCTTTCCTATAAGGCTGCAGTATCCCTGATGGCCACCAGATGGCACATTTCTTAAACACTTACTGTGTGCTCAAGCCTTGGGGATACAAATGCAGGTCTCTCTCTGAACGGCTCATCTATTCTAGCAGAGTAGAGGACATATTGAGGGAGGGGGCCCAGGAAAGGGCAGTCCATCCTTTGTAGGTAAGAGATGATCATGGTAGTGATGGTTGGATTAAGTTCTAAGAAACAGAGGCGAAAAGGTGTATTCACAGCGGGGCAGAGAGTTGCTAGGTAGACATGAGGATGCGTAGCTCCCGGGGCGCGCGGCTGGGTTCCTCCTAAGACTGGCCTCTGACAGCCTGGCAGTAGTAGCGGCAGAAGTGGGCAGAAATTGCCTGGGACTCGTTGACAGGTACTGCTGCCAATCACATTTCTCAGCATGCAGAAATATGTAAAACCCTAGTTTGTTAAATGCTCAGAGCACAGACCCACAGTATGCAACAGCCATTGGGGTCTGAGCAGCAGTTTCAGTCCCTTCATACAGGTTCTCAGTGGGGTGTATGAGGTGCTCAGGGAGGATTAGCCTCTCTGGTGGGAGGTCTGCTGAGCCCTTCTCAGGGCCTCTTTCTGCCTTTGGGGTCCACCTCTCCCCCAATTCTCACCTGCGTCTCCCAGAAGCTGTAAGGTGCGCAGTGGCCACACCCCGGTAAAACCATCTCGGGGCTAGCCCAGGTGGAGGGTAAGCGACAGGCCTCAAACCTGCTGGTGCCTTGTGGGGATGTCCACCTCAAACATGTGAAGACTTCCCCAGTAGTGAATGAGAATGATTTGTTCCAATGGCCATGAAGGCAGCCGAAGCAGGTGCTGTGGAACTCTGGGAGCTTGTCAGACACCGAAGATGCCAAGTCATCCATTGTATCTCTGGCCATCGCCAGTTGTCCTGATTTTGTCTTGCCACTGGACTTCGAGGACTCAGGAAGAGAGAGGCAGACAACTCTGCATGACTCTGCCTTCCTGAAACCCAATTCATATGCAAATGAAGACACGTTCATGATGTCACTGGTCCTCGGGCTTTGGGGGCCATAGGATGGATGGATATAATGGAATCTTACCGAGGGCGGAAGGGAAGGTAATGATTTATACATTGAAAAGTAGCAGAAGGGGAAGATTTGCGTCAGCTAAAACAACGAACGCTGGGTACGTAGCTGGAATTTGCAGATTACCATTGATGTCAGAGCAAGTTACATGACATCCTTGTCTTAAGCAAACGGTGGTAATAAAGCTGGGCCAATTCCACGCGGGTGGTATTTCTTATATCCTTAGCTGAGTAGGAAGCTGTGTCCAGAGAGGCAGAAGCCAATCAGCCCACAAGGACAGTTTCATTGCCTTTTAGGGAAAACAAATCCCTGTTGTGGGGAAATGGGTGGTAGGGTGCCTTACCTGCTACTGATCAGCAGAGTCACTGAACAATGTCATTTCTGTTGTTCTGTCTTATAAGGAATTCTTAACCTTGATGTGTGGATGAAAGACACTTTGTTTGAAAAGAAATCTGCCCCTCTTTGGGGCCACTGGCCCAATTCACACTGTGCTGGCTGGTTGTGTTCCCCGAGGGTGGCTGACTACTCAGGCTGTCAGTGTTCTAAGAGTAAACCCAAGAATTCCTGGCTTCTAAAATGACCATTTGTGAGCCTCTATCCCTTGTGTTCCTTCCCACGTTGATTAACCAATTGATATCAATAAGCTTTTACAAAGGGATCAGTTATTTTCCCTATGGGATACTTTCTATTTTCTTCTATTTTTTCAGTCTTTTGACTTTGTTTTAACATCTCTTTTAAACTACTGGAGCCAGTAACTTCTGTTTTGTCCACTCTAATTTTCAGTTTTTATGCCTCTTGTGCCAAGCTGTTAATTCTTTTTCCAATTCTTTCTTCCATAGCTCTCATTTCTTTTCTAATTTTTCCCAGTGGACTCATTTAATCCATAAAATAATTTTAAATAATAAAGACTTCTTCCTTTCTTCTAGGAATTCTAGTTGAACTTGGAGCCAAGCTATGTTCTTCTTTGAGGCTTTGTTTAGAGATCTGCTCCTGGCTACATCTGGTCCCTAGTGTTTGCAGATTTTCCCGGCTTCCTTTGCCAAACTAGCCTGGAAATATGACTCACTATATTTTGTTTTCTTGGCTCTACTGATTAGGATTCAGTCTAGTGAGCTTGCTAGATGGGGGAAAGCTTTATTTGCTTCCTCCTACTCCGCCATCTTGTCTGGTCTTGATGGTAGATAGGTAACAACTGCTATGCTGGATTGACTGGTTGGTTTCACACAGAGACTGGTTACATCTTGTTTTCATTAGAAGTAAAAACATACAAAGACACACAGACGCACAAGAAAACACACAAAACCACCCCCTGAATGTTTAATCTGCAAATCTAAGTTACAACAGTGACCATGTTTACCCATTTGGCTACAGCCATCACTCTTCTTCAGTAAACAGGTCCAGCTTGGCTTAGCTCTGTCAGAATGTATCAATGGATTATGGTCAGTGTCTCTGTGAAATTAAGCACAATATGCTTGTCCTTGGAGCTTACTGACAGCTCCCTTGCACCCAAAGTCCAGGTCCAGTAGAGGAGAAGGAATCTCACTGTCATGAA